TATGATCCCACCAATATGACATTATAGAAAAGGAAAAACTGCCATGCTGGTAAACAAAACAGTGACTTACAATGCTTTTTCGGGAGGGGAGCTAAATAGAGAATAAGATAGGAAAATAAAATAGTACAAATGGGCCAGGTAGGAGTGGACTCCCTTGGGTTGGTTACACCAGGCTGAGAGTGTGTGAATAAGCCTGGGGTCTGCAGTACCAGGTCCACAAGAAGGCTACTTCTCTAGAAGACAAGGATCTTCTTCATTCACATGTGGAACTATTTCAGCTCTGACGTGGATGTTTTGTGTTTAAAATACACATAAAAGGTTTCATTTAAAAAGTTTTATTATTTATATCACTGAAAAATATAATATTTAACATTTTAAGTGTATAGTTCAGTGGCATTAAGTACATTCACATTGTGACATAACTATCATTGCTATCATTTTTCATTCCCATCAACCACGATTAGAAATCGAATTTTCTATATCGTCCCCAATTCTTGAGTGTATCTTTTTACTTGCTTATATAACAGCCATTCTAATGGATGTGAAGTGTCTTATTGTGCTTCTGATTTCCATTTCCCTGTAGGATGGTGATATTGAGCATTTTTTTCGTGTGTTTGTCACTGAACTTAGCAATCATTTCTTGGGTATAACACAAAAGGTACAAGCAGATTAAGAAAAAAATTAATCGGACTTCATAAAAATTTAAAACTTTTGTACATCAAAAGACACTATCGACAGGTGGAGAAAGACAAATACCATATGATTTCACTTGTGGAATATCGAAACAAAGCATAACAGAAGGAACAAAACAACAGTAGACTCACAGACACTGAGAAGGGACTAGTGGTTACTAAGGGGGAGGGGAGTGAGTGGAAGCTGGGGGAGGGGGACTGTTGAACCACTGTGATGTACATTTGATAATTTTTTTAAAGAAGATACTACTGACAAAGTAAAAAGATGACTTAAGGAATGGGGAAATAGTTGCAAATTACATATCTTAGAAATTGGAGTGCTAATACATTAAGAAAGGGAATATAAAATGTTGTAGCCACTGTGGAAAACTGTTTGGCAGTTCAAAACTATAATATTTAACACATGATCTAGCAATTCCACTCCTAGGAATATACACAAAAGAATTGAGAGCAGAAACTTGTACATGAATGTTCACAGTATCACTGCTCACAATAGTGAAAGAGTGGATGGATAAACAAGATACGGTATCTCCATACAATGAAATACTGCAATATTCAGCCAGGAGAAGGCTGAGGTACCGATACTGCAGTGGGGATGAACCTCGAAAGTGCTATGCTAACAGAAAAAAGGTGAACACAAGCTCTCTCTTTATATGAAAATCCAGAATGGCTAAATCTTTAGAAACAGGAAGTAGATTAATGGTTGCCAGAGGTCACAGGGCGGAATGGGGAGTGACTGCATAATGGGGAGGGTATTCCATTTTAGGTGATGATAATCTTTTGCAACTTCAAAGATATGGATGGTTATGATTTTATGTATGTACTGAATGTCACTGATTTGTACACTTTAAAACAGTTCATTTTATATGATGTCAGTTTTACCTTGTTGCAGAACAAAGACTAAGAAACCATCCCTCAGCCTTCCTTCCCAAGGTGTCCCAAGTGTGGCTCATCACGCAGTGGCCTGGCTTCCATGTGAAGTCGCACCAGCCACAAAAGCTGTTATATATACACTGGCCTGGGGCACCCCAGGAGGCAGGAAGTGGATGCATGCTGGTATTTTTATACTTGGTTAGAGCCGAGGATGCTTGCACCTTACTGTCGTCCACACCCCTCCAGCTCTCTGGATACTAAAGATACATTCTGGGTCTTGCCTTGCTCAGGCTGGCCAGGATCCAGCCCCACGGAGGTTCCTCACAAAACCTCGGGGGCCCTACAGGCACACAGTGGGGAGGGGATGCCTGAGCCAGGAGGGGCCTTTGCCTTTGGCGGCCTGGGACTGAGTGCTTTTTTCTGCCCAGGCAACAGGGACCAGTGGGGCCCCTGGGAAGACTCAGCATCCAGAGAGAGACAAGCCTCCATTTTATCCTGCAAAACTTTAGCACCCCCAAGCCCAGAAAGCCCAGGCATGGGCAGACCACACCCCCTCACACCTCCTCGGAACCCCTCTCCCAGCCATGCGCAGTTTGGATCAGCCCCCTATCCCTCCCTGTTAATGAGGAAAGGTGCCTCAGAAAGGGACACTTGGTCTGGTCACAGCGTTTCACCCATGTCCACTGGGCCTGGGCTGGCTCTCTAAGGTGTCAGACCAGAACAGGCTGTAGGGATAACACACCTCTTCTCAGAAGAGCCTGGGATTCAGCCAGAAGGCAGGGAGGGAAGTGGTGGGCAGCCTGAAAGCAGGGAAGTGATTGGCAGGAAGCAGAGGGTGGAGGTTGCTCCCCACAAGCACTGAGTGGAGCGGGAAAGGAGGGGCCACCCGCCTCCATCCACATGGAAGGTCTCTCCACCGCATGCGTAGACCTCTGCACAAGGTCCAATCTCAGTCAAGAGTTAGCTCCAGAGACTTTAGTCCGTCTACCCCCAAGTGGGCATGACACGGCTGGCCAAGTAAACGCTGTAGAATTTTCAGGGTTGAGACCAGTGTCTGCCAAGAATAGGTGGGAGGAAAATGCCCCATACTGTCACATGGCTTGTTTGCCAAGGGTCTTGCCTCTGACTGGATGACCTCCCTCCCACACAGGCACCTCCTTGATGGGCATCCAGACTCTCCTGGCCACATGAACAGCTACATGAGCGGGATGAGGCCAGAGTGCCGCATGTTCCCCGAGAAGATCCAAGGGTTGGCCCACCAGTAGCAGCCAAGGGCTAACCCTCACCCTCTAAATCTAAGCACTAAACCCTAAACTCTGACCCTGCATGTTCACTGGGCACGGTAACATTTTGTGCACAACATTCTCCTCTCTAGAAAGGCCTCCACTGTCGGAAGCCCCCAGGAGCTCACCTCTGTAATCTGCTGCTGCGTGAGTGAAACAGACCTGCTTTTGACTTCTGATCTGATGAACATTTCTCAAATGCTTCCTCCAAAACAGGGATGAATGAGGGTTGGATTACTCTGAAGAGTGTGACATGGAAATGCATGATGTGGATAAAAGTAGGTGAAATAGCAGCTCCTGAAATTAATTTAAGCCTATCACCATGAGGGTGATTGGAAATAATAGTCAAAGAGTGAATCTTGGTGACTGGGTGTACACTGTGTATATATGTGGAGGAAAGCTGATGGTGTTTCAAATTCCAGAATTCAGATAAGACAGACAGTAATATGTTCATGGATCATAAGAATAAAGTAAGCAGATTGGGGAAATCAGTTAGTTAATACAGAATTTGATGAGAAACAGGATTTTACAAAATTTCACAGCACCACCCCACAAAATGCTTATACACTGAGTAAAGGAATTACTCTACAGTGGAGACAATTGGGAAAACAACACCCTAATCAAGTGATCAAAGTGAACACCATCAATAATAGGACAATCAGAATCATGTGCTACCTTACCTGTAAGCAATAAGGACTCAGTGTTACTTCTGGAATCCTTCTTCCAAAAATGCATATCCTGAGTTACAAGGAAATACTGGACATGGCCACTTTGAGGGACATGTTACAGAATAACTGGCTTGTAATCTTTCAAAAGTGTCAAAGTTAGGGAAGTCAAAGACTAGGGAGTGTTCCTAGGATGAAGGGTATTGAGAGATGCAGTGAGTACATGCAGCCAGCATGTGATATGGATGGGATGCATTCCCAGGATAAGTAAATTTTGATGGGGGTCTCACAGTCAGAAAACTGTAAAGGATCAATATTGGTTTCCTAACTGGTGGCTGTGCTATGGAGCCCTTACCGGAAGGGAACACATACAAGTATTTTATGTGGGAATGGGGAGAACAATTGGGCATCAGGCCAGTAAATTATATTGAAATGGATAAAAAAATAGAATTTTATATCCAATTTGCAACTTTATGTAAGTTTGTGATCATTTCAAAAAATTATTTTAAAACTCAAATATTCATATTTTTTGGGAACATAATGGGAGTGAATGTCCCAAATGGAAGTAGATTATTACTGGTACATGGACAGTTTTGGCAACAGAGAAGCCATGGGTCCTGGGTCTGCAGAGTGGGCGTAAAGGGCGTGTGGCTGAGCAAGCCCTTGAGCTGTGTGGTGGCTGAGTACAGGTGGCCTCAGACGAGATGCCCCCTCCCCAGGAAGCTGGGAGCTCCATTCCAGTACTTCCACATATCCTAGGTCCCCACCCAACCCTCGCTTCACACCCTCCTATCAGCAACTACCTATAATGGCTCACTTATTCCTCTATTTGCCCCACTATCCCAAGAGCACTGAGGCCACGAACTTGACTTTGCTCTCTGCCATATCACACAAGCTGCTTAGCACACACTTCGACTAATACAAGGGGGGAGCCAAGGAGCAAAGGCCTATACCTGGAGGTGACAGTCCTGCGTGTCAAAGTCACCATCCAGAAGGGAGTCAGATGTGCCAGGAGTCACGCCACACTGGGTCCCCAGCGCCCAGTACTTCCACTACCAGGGTTAGTTCCTCGTTCCCACGACAACATAACCAGGCGAAGAGCAAAAAACAAAGGCCAGAGGGCAGGGATACCCACTGTGATGGTCCTTGTAAAATGTGACAACCTGGATGTCCATCAGCAGGGTATGGCTGCACCAATCCATGCACACTCATGTTGTGAGACACTAGCCAAGGCCAGACAAGGACAGGTGTCTGGGACACGGCTATGTGAATAAAGCTGGAGCAGTCCAGAACATCCAACTTTAATGAAATACAACATCATTTAGAAAACACAATAAATGACAACCTCAGGGGACACACCCTGCAGCCCCCTGCCCAGGCCACTCCAACTACAGTTACTTTATGAAAGGGCCCAGACACAGACATGTCTGAACGCTGCCCATGCCTCACTCACAGTTATCCGGGTACGGAAGTCTGGCCTTGTCACAGGGTCCGTGGTAGAGTGGCCAGCAGAACCGCCTTCTCTCTCTAGAAAGGCCTTCCCTGGCAGGAACCCCCAGGAGTTCAACTCTGTAACCTGCCACTGCCTGAGTGAAGTAGGCCCACTTTTGACTTCTGATTGGATGAGCGTTAAATGCTCCCCCAACACAGGGAATTGCCAACCAAACTATGTGAACCCAGAAGGGGGCTCAGTGCCCTCAGTGCTCTCAGTGGAAGCCCCAGGGAACCCTGGGGAAGTGCTCTTTCAAGTCGGGACGCCTAAAGCTCTGTAATTCGCTGTGAAAGGCCAACGCCCACAACTGTTCCCCTGGAGCAGCGGCAGGGCCCCTGGGGGACAGCTCAGCCCAGTCTGCTCCCTGAAAGCTCGAGGAGCATCCTGGCCCCCCAGAAGGCATCGCTGGAGGCCTGGTCATCGGGCCACTGAACCTGGAAAGCAGACAGCATTACACGCGGAGTCACTCTCTGCCTGGGGCACCTGGGACCCTAGCCCTGGGAACCTCATCTTCTGGACTCAGTAACATTAGCCTGAAACATGCGGTCCTGGCTGCCATTCCCAATGTCCCACCTCAAGGCACCCAGGCCCTTGTACATCTTTGCTGGTTTATTCACTCCAAAGGCATAAGTGGAGGACCCAGGAGTGAGGAGGGGAAACCCACACACCTCGCTAGAAGGCCTCACCTGGCTGGAGGGCAGGGGCTGGCTCAGCTCCACAGCAGACACCGGGCCGGGGAAGGTGTCTGGGGCTGGTGCCAATCCTGGGGGGCTGGAAAAGAGATGGTGTCAGGACAGGGCCTGCCTCAAGGGTGCAGCTGGGCACAAGGTCCACCATGTGAGCAACATGCTCTGAGAGTTCTCAGCACATCAGGAGCCCTTCCGAGTCCTGGATGCTACGCAGAAAGAGTCTACTGCCACAGGGCCCTCAAGTGCTGAAGGCTGCTAGAAGGGCCTATGTGACACCTCGAACAGGTGGCTTGGGTGGGTCAGAAGATGTTGGAGCAGGCTCACAGAGAAGGGGCTGGTGAGCAAAAAAGCAAAGGAATAGAAGGTTTAGAAGGGACAGGCCTGGGGGTGTGAAGGCGAGAAGAGGCTATTAGGATCAAGTCAGGGTGAGAAGCAGAGAGAGCAGGGAAGCAGACAGGTATGGACTCTCAGGACAACAGTCTGACAGTTCCTTTAAAAAGAAAATACACACCTTCCCTGTGACCCAGCCATTCCAATCCTAGGTGTACACATACCCCAGAGATGCAAAGGCAAGTGTGCAGACTGACCCATTTATCTGGGAATGCTCACAGAAGCCCCAAACTGGGAATCCCAAATGCCCACCAGCAGACCAGCCACACCAAGAAACAGGCCTCAGGAATAGAGAGGAGTGCACTTCTGACCTAGCAACAGGGGGAAACTCAAAGTAGGGAGCCCAGGGAAAAGCTAGAATAAAGTTTTTAATTTAAAAGCTTGCATGTATTGTATGCATTCATGCAGCTAAACAAAGCATGTCCATAGTCCTGGGGGTGGCAGGAGTAGAGGTGGGCAGTGGCATTCACGGCTTCATGGTGGGTACCCTGGCCACACTCAGCAAACTATCATTTGTACCATCTCCCCTTGTGGGTTTACAAGTGCCAACTGTACCCCAATAGAGCTATTTTTAGGAAGGAATCAAGTCATCAGAGAACAGGGATGGGCTGAGGCATCAGAGTGCACAGAAGAGGCAGCTAGTGGATAGGTCTGAAGCCACGAGGGCACCCTGTGGTGGCATTGGCTCCATCATGGCTTCTGGTCATGAGTGGAAAACTGAGTCCATCAGCACGGACTCCAATTTCTCACCATCTGGTGGTTTTAGCAAGCAGAGCCTCTCACTTGGACAGCTGCTCCCCTCTCTCTCACATTTCTCTGTAATTCTGCCCTCGTGGGGAGACAGCCTTCAGATTCCATATTATGGAGACCAAAACCCCCGTGGACCTGGTCATGGTGGCCCCTGTTGCAGACCGCGTGTCCACCAGAGGAGCCCCTGCCTGTCACGCTCCTCCATCCCTCCTCTGCCTCCTCAGCGTCCTGGCTCCCACGGCCACAGTCTACAGCACTTGCACTGTTCACAACCCTGAAAACCCCCTTGCAACTAAAATTTACTATCTAAAATCAGAACCTTGACACTGCTCAGAAACTCTGACAGCCTTTGGGTGGGAAAAAAAGTAATACCAAAAATCGGCTGCTGGGGCCCAGAGTGACCTCAGGGAAGAGGTGAGGCCTGAGCACCATCCACAGGATGGATGCCCATGTCTGCTCTGCTATTTCCAGTTGGTTCTTTCAGCTGAGTGCAAAACTACTCTTTTCACTGGACAGAAGCAGGCCAGCGGGGACACTATAGTTTCCAAAAACCCGTAAGGACAGGAATCAATCTGCATCATCTGAGATGGACACCTATAAACAAGGCACCACCCTGATGGTGGCCCATGGAAAGTGTTGCCTACACCCTGCAGCTCTGTGGAGCTTACCTCTGGGGGAGGAAGAACTCAGGAGCCTCCAATGGGTGCTGTGTCACCAGGAAGTTGCCCACCTGTCGTTCTGCCTGGCCACCGCTGCAGCCTGGACCCAACTCCAGGTACGTCCTCTGCAGGTTGCTGCCAGGTGGGTCAGTAAATCCTGCACAGAAAGAAATTGCACAACCCAACAATAAGAAGGAACACAGTTTGCAGCAGCACGCCAAGACCTCCACAGAGACAAGGGCTCCACCCTTCCTAACTGAGGAAGGACCGGCCTCTTCAGCCTTCCAGAGAAAAAAGCCAAGTCAAATTTTGCTAATTCAAGTTCTGCTTTGTCATTCCAGGCTTCATGCTGGCCTCCACTGCCCCCACATCCACTGCTGCTAGGTAAGGAAGCTGTGAGCTGCCCACAGGCTCCTCAAAGGTTGGGCCTCCAGCCCTGGGCCATTTTCATTTTTACCTTTTACCATAGGTTCCATCACAATTTTGTGGAGGTACAAGGTGTCACTACCTTACTCTGCACTTTCTACTTAAAATGTTTCAGAGGAGATATCGGGAGCAAGACAGGGATGCCCACTCTCCCCACTGTTATTTAACGTAGTACTGGAGGTCCTAGCCACAGCAATTAGACAAGACAAAGAAATACAAGGAATCCAAATTGGTGAAGTAGTTAAGCTGTCACTATTTGCAGATGACATTATACTGTATATAAAAAACCTTAAAGACTCCACTCCAAAACTACTAGAACTAATGTCAGAATACAGCAAAGTTGCAGTATACAAAATTAACACACAGAAATCTGCGGCTTTCCTATACATTAACAATGAATAATAGAAAGAGAAATCAGGCAGGAAAACAATTCCACTCACAACTGCATCAAAAAGAATTAAATACCTAGGAATAAGCCTAACCAAGGAAGTGAAAGACCTACACCCTGAAAACTATAAGACACTCTTAAGAGAAATTAAAAAGGACACTAGCAAATGGAAACTCATCCCATGCTCTTGGCTAGGAAGAATTAATATAGTCAAAATGGCCATCCTGCCCAAAGCAATATACAGATTTGATGCGATCCCTATCAAATTACCAACAGCATTCTTCAACAAACTGGAACAAATAGTTCAAAAATTCATATGTAAACACCGAAGACCTGAATAGCTAAAGCAATTCTGAGAAGGAAGAATAAAGTGGGGGGGGAATCTCGCTCCCCAATTTCAAGCTCTACTAAAAGCCACAGTAATCAAGACAATTTGGTACTGGCACAAGAACAGACCCACAGACCAGTGAAACAGAATAGAGACTCCAGACATTAATCCAAACATATATGGTCAATTAATATACGATAAAGGAGCCATGGACATACAATGGGGAAATGACAGTCTCTTTAACAGATGGTGCTGGCAAAACTGGACAGCTACATGTAAGAGAATGAAACTGGATCACTGTCTAACCCCATACACAAAAGTAAATTTGAAATGGATCAAAGACCTGAATGTAAGTCATGAAACCATTAAACTTCTAGAAAATAACATTGGCAAAAATCTCTTGGACATAAACATGAGTGATTTCTTCATGAACATATCTCCCCGGGCAAGGGAAACAAAAGCAAAAATGAACAAATGGGACTATATCAAGCTGAAAAGCTTCTGTACAGCAAAGGACACCATCAATAGAACAAAAAGGTATCCTACAGTATGGGAGAATATATTCATAAATGACAGATCCGATAAAGGGTTGACATACAAAATATAAAGAGGTCATGCACCTCAACAAACAAGAAGCAAATAATCCAATTAAAAAATGGGCAGAGGAGCTGAACAGACAGTTCTCTAAAGAAGAAATTCAGATGGCCAACAGACACATGAAAAGATGCTCCACATCACTAGTCATCAGAGAAATGCAAATTAAAACCACAATGAGATATCACCTCACACCAGTAAGGATTGCTACCATCCAAAAGACAAACAACAAATGTGGGTGAGGTTGTGGAGAAAGGGAAACCCTCCTACACTGCTGGTGGGAATGCAAATTAGTTCAACCATTGTGGAAAACAGTATGGAGGTTCCTAAAAATGCTCAAAATAGAAATACCATTCGACCCAGGAATTCCACTTCTAGAAATTTAGTCTAAGAATGCAGTAGCCCAGTTTGAAAAAGACAGATGCACCCCTATGTTTATCGCAGCACTATTTACAATAGCCAAGAAATGGAAGCAACCTAAATGTCCATCAGCAGATGAATGAAGAATATGTGGTACATATACACAATGGAATATTATCTGGCCATAAGAAGAAAACAAATCCTACCATTTGCAACAACATGGATGGAGCTAGAGGGTATTATGCTCAGTGAAATAAGTCAGGCAGAAAGACAAGTATCAAATGATTTCACTCATATGTGGAGTATAAGAATAAAGAAAAACTGAAGGAACAAAACAGCAGCAGAATCACAGAACCCAAGAATGGACAAATAGTTACCAAAGGGAAAGGGACTGGGGAGGATGGGTGGGAAGGGAGGGATAAGGTGGGGAAAAAGAAAGGGGTTATTACGATTAGCATATATAATTAGCATGTGGGGGGGCATGGGGAGGGCTGTGCAACACAGGGAAGACAAGTAGTGATTCTACACTGACAGATAGTGACTGTAATGGGGTGTGTGGGGGGGTACTTGGTGAAGCGGGGAGCCTAGTAAACACAATGTTCTTCATGTAATTGTAGAATAATGATAACAAAATTTAAAAAAATAAATTTTTCAGAGGATACTGCCAGAGTATCTTCCACTCTTTATCAGTGTGGGGTTGACAGCCATTCAGGAGCAAAGTGAATTGAGAAAGAAGGTCCATTTCCGACCTGAGTCTACCAGGTGGTACAGCTAGCATATGAGTCCCTCATCTCAGACCCAAAACAACAGGCAGTCTGGGCCAGGCTCACACCATCCTGCCTCCCATCTGCCAGATCAAGCACTTAAAGCCGGCCAACTGTCCAGACCTTCTCAGATCAAGAAGCTTCCTGACCACTAGGTGTATGTTTCTGCTTCCCACTGTTTCTTCTTTTCCGCAAAACTTTAAAGATACTCTGAGGCACATTAAAGCTTACATGCTAATCTCAACGTTCAGGTTCAAACATAATAGATCAATGGGTTACATCTTCTTCTTTCGAGAGAAAGAGAAGTAAAATGCCACAAGCCAAGGACAAAGGGAGTGTCCAGGGAGGGGTATTCGGTGGGTGGGAGAGGTGCGTGGTCCTTGAGACTCAGAGCACATGTCCAGTCCTATGGTGGGAGAGCATCTGAAAAGAATTGGGGCACAGGGAAGGGATGACATCCCTGTACTGAGGGGGGACAGTGCTCAGGCATCAGCAGGGAAGCTCACCAACCCCCAGAGAACATCACCCCTCACGTGCTGGACCTGGTATGGAGACCACCTCCTCTCATCCTAGTGTGAAGCTGGCCAGTGACCACCCCACTCCAGCCTTGCTAGCAAATATGGCAGGCAAATATGAGTCTCCAGCGGTGAAAACAAACAAACAAGAAACAGCAAGAAATGAAAGGCCAAAGTGATGGAACTGAAAAGCTGCCTCCAGGGGGCTGATTATCCAGGCCCCTTCCTCTTTCTGGCCCTTTGTCCTTCTCTAATCAAGGAAAGGCCAGAATCCACAATCTGATTATTCCCACCTTCAGAAAATGAAGCATATTTTTGAAACCTCTAAAGGAAAATACTCAGAAACATACAACATATTGAATCTATAAAAAGTAACATGACGTATGATGAACGGAAAACCCAGAGACAAGAGAAAAGAGCTTGGAAATCTCTTAGAACATGTTAACTGTCAAACTAAAGTATTGCAAGACTGAGTTTAAGAAACCCCCAAAAGCACATTGTCAAATTTCACACCACCAAAATTAAGACAAACTCCAAGAAGAAAAAATAGATGGTCTGCAAAGGACTAAACAGAATCCCATCAGACTATCAAAAACGATGCTGGACACTATAGACGGCAGAAGGCCTTCTAAGGAAAAGTATACAAAACTCAGCATCCTATGCCTTCCAACTGATTAATCAACTGTGGGGGAAGATTAAAGACAATTTCAGAACATGCAAGGACTTGAGATTTATTTCACAGGAACCCTTTCTTGCAAAGCTGATGGAGGACATTCTTGAATATAACAAAAGAGTCAGGAAAGAGACAAGGGCTGCAACTCAGGAAACCCAGGAGCAAACCCCAGGCGGCAGTTAAAGGAGCTCTCAGGGTGAAGGCTGCACCCAGGCCAAGGGAGGCTTTACTTGGATGGGAAATGGAAGAAGTCAGCTCCCAGCAGCCAGTCCTCAGAGGGTACACTGGCAACACTGAAAGAAGTCAAGGACGTGGTAAGAGCAGACAATGTAAGAAAGACAGGCCATTAGAAACTCCAAGAAAACATGTGTATGACCATAGAAGACCAAGAAATTTAGGGGATGGGATGGATTCATCATGCCCATATTCTCCTTACAAGGTGGGATTTCACAAGATGCTTTTTATTTGGTGGACAAAATATATATCTGAATATAAAATCCCTGAAGGTATTTACAGCTACCATGGTAACTAAGAAAGAAACTAAATAATGATGTTTCTATCATGGAATGAGAGGGGAGAAGTAGTGGGTCTCAGAAGCTCTACCCTCCTATGCTGCAGCAGGTGTTGACAGGTAAGTGAAGTGAGCTGGATTACTAAGTACAGGGGTGGTAGCTGTCTCATTTAATTTTAAGTCTTTCTTTGCTACCTTGTTTTTTATTCATATTCATGTGTTATTTTTTTTTCATATTCATGTGTTATTTTGCAAACTAAAATAAATGAGAACTATCTGGATGGTTGTGGGAAGGGCTTCTTTTCTAGCACCACTAGTTATGGGTCTAATAAAATACAGGAGTTTAAGCAGAAAGTCCTTGCCATTCCCACACTGTGCCCCTTTAAACAAGACCCAGGTAACTGCAGCATCTGATGCAGAAACTCATGATCTGTCTGGAGCAGACCCACCTGTGAAGCTGGGCTCACCAAAGGTGGCAACGGACACAGACATGGTAGCATCTTCAGGACGCATCATCATGTCCATCCCATTACCGTGGACCTGCTGCTCAGTCTGGAAGGAAACTTCCCTGGAGGATGCCATTGCAAGAGACATCAGCCATGACTTGGGGGCAGCCAGAGATGGGTCCAGCATGTCACTGCTTGCAGTCAGAGAGGAGAGGCTAGAGCCAGGGCAGACTCGGGGTAAGATGACAGGATTGTGGTGAGGCTCCTCCCGGTACATCTCACCACTCTGCAGAGACCTGGGGAACACAGCAAACACCGTCCCTTGGTGGGCAGCTGCTCCCTTAGGTGGAGCAGTGGGGCCTGGGAGTTTGGGAAATTGGGTTCCCAACTCAACTCAGCCAGTGAAGAGCCCACCACATTCCTAAAACTGCTGCTTTCACTGTTCTCCCTGTGGCTGCAAGTGTTCTAGAGACAATTAAAAAAACACTATCAGTGGAAACCTAAGAAACATCAGCAGTTAATTTTCAAGAACCTTCAATGAAGCATTGTTTTACAGTAACTGAAAGCTGAAAATGATTAGAAAGAACCTAATAATTGAGTGAATAAATAATGGTTGGTCTTATGCGAATATTACTAGTTAATAATAGTTCAAAGAGTTACACTCCACAAATGCTCAGTGTCTCAGATTGTGCTCCTGGACCTTTATTAACACCCACAGCCATCATCTTTGCAATAACTTGAATGACAGGTCCCTCCCATTTCACAGGTGAGAAAAGTGAGGCATTGAGAGGTCACAGGAATTTGCCTAAGTTCACAAACCTGGACACGAGGTGCTAGGCCCAGGTAGTGTCATGAGAGATGCTAATGTCACAACACTAAATAGAAAATGTATGCACAGCTTGATGGTTACACAAGACACAGGCCTCCCCTGCATTCAGACCTAGTCCTGCTGAGGGCCCGCACTTCCCTTATCCTTACATCAGGCATGTGTCTCATCCCAGGAGGAGCACAGGGTGAGGGAAAATGGTTGGACAGTGCCGACTATGTAGTAGAAATTCAAGAAATGCTGGCTGCTACTAGCTGAAGGAAATACAAACCATACAAAATATTAAAAAGAAACTACAGGACAGTGAGGTTTGCCTTTAAGGAGGCAGGTCTGAATGTTTTCCTGTTTTCCCCATTCTCTAAAATATACATGGAGTCAGGCTGTAAGCCAGAATCTGGGAAGCCAAAGTGGGGTTCTCAACATGGGCTCTGCCAGTGGCTCTCCCACCCCTGGGGTCACAGCTCTCTCTGCTCTCAGCTGTCAGTGTCCTGGGCCCAGTATCAGCCCCGGCATTCCCATGCGCACTCTAGGCCTGGTCTCTCCAACAGACAAAGGGGGAGCTGAACAGGGAGATGGTCCCATGGCCTGTGAGGACGGCAGTACCTGGAAGCCAGTGGCGTTGGCATAGTCTCATCTCCAGAGAAGTCCTGGGTCAGGACCAGCGGCTCCCAAGGCCCTCGGGTGGTCACTGGGGACTGTGCAGGCCTGTTTTCCTCACCTTCTGCAGAAAACCAGCCAAATGAGAGGGGAGGCTCAGAGTCCAAGCCTCCTTCCCAACAGATGAAGAGCCACCCTGTTAGCTGTGTAAGTGTCACCACTGAATTATCCCAATATTCTGTTTCTCCCTTAATCCATTTTTGGTCCAAACAGCAATTCATAATTAAAGGCTGCCTTTAATACTAGTACTTGGCTCTCCTCCCAAATCTCACTGACTCTTGGACCTGTCCACACAGGACCTGTAAATGCAAAACAGTGACTGCAGCTCCACCCAAGCCCATCCTGACGGCAACCTGATCCTCAGCTTCAGTGATTCCTCCCACTGAGTGAGGTCCTAAATGAGCGAACTAGGGGCAGGAGAAGGGGGGCTATCCTTGTAACATGAGTGACCCAACCTAGGCCTGGCCCTAGACACAGGATGCAGTGAAAGGGGTGACAGAAATGAGCCCCTAACCACAAGAAGGCTGGGACCCTCGGGCCACTCACCTGACCACTGAGGCCTATCCCCACACCCAGAGCCAAGGTGGAGGTGATCTGAGGGCTGTGGGGGGTTCAGACCCTTCTCCCAGGTGCTGGAATCCTCTGTAGTGTCCTCTGGGACTGGCTCCAAGTGCTGTAGAAAGGCCCTTTGGCGCCGCCGGTAGTTGGCAAACCAGTTGTAGACCTGCTCTGCGGTCAAGCTTGTCTCTGAGGCCAGGTTCTCCTGCCCCGAAACACCACAACCTCTAGCCCTGCTTCCCTGAGCCGCAGGGGTGCACAGGGGCAGCCCAACAGCACGTCCATCCTGACAGTGTTCTGCGCCCGGCTTGTCTCTCAGAGAGCCCGCGCAGGCCCTAGGGGCACTGAACTGCCTCCATCTGTGCAGTCCCAGCACGTCCTCCGGCCGGCCTCCTCCCTCGCGACCGCCATGGCCACCAGAGCTGGGGAGAGATCGGGCCGCACAGAACTACCGCCCAGCGGGGAAGCGCCTTGGCCGCTGACCCACACCCGGGACCAGGCCCTTTCCTTCCCCAGGAGTCAGCCCCAGGCTCCGCTGTCCAAGGACCACAGCACAGAAGCTGTGAGAGGCCAGTTGAGCTGAACGGGATAGGGTGGGCGCGGGGACCCCAATGACTGGACCTAGACGGAGGTGGGCACAGGAACACCAGCGACTAGAAGGGGACCAAGGCGGGCGCAGGACCCCAAGGGCTGGAATGGGACGGAGGCGGGCTCGGGGCCCCTACGAGACCCCTGCCGTCGGGACCGAGAACTAGGTGGGTGAAGCAACCTTGAGATTGAACAGGCACCAAAATAGGAAGGAATGTAAGCTCCTCTTGGGAAAGCTCTGTTGAGTGGATGGGTAGAGAAGAGGGTGGGCAAACACAGGAGAACCTGCCTATTGGGTAGAGCAGACATGTGGGCGGAGGACGCAGGCCAGAAAAGAGCCGCGGGAAACTACCCTGCAGCTTGGGCCTCCACCCTGGGGGCGCTAAGCCTCCTTCTTTCCTGCACCCTGGCCTTGGCAGGTACTGAGTGCCATGGGCATCCGCTTCTCCCACCCTGGAAGCTCAGCGAATCCAGAGATTTGAATCTCCTCACCCTAGTAGGCCGGCCTGGCCACTGTGGGGTATTAATGGCCCCACGTGAGAAAACTAAACCCTCCACGTGTTCAAGATTGACTGTCATGAGCAGCCAGCCAGTTATCTCCTGTCCCAGAAGTCAAAGGGAGGCGGCGCCCTGGCAGAGGGGCACCCCAGAGATGGTGAGGGTGGCCTAAGGGTTGAGTCCCCTAAGGACATCGGTTCAGCTACGGGGGATTTTGCCTGGCCCCACTATCCTCTGCTCTTACCCGCTCAGCTTTGCTGGGGTTGGTGCTCACACCGGAGGCAAAGTCGTGCAGCTTCTGGCGAACTTCTCTGGGGAAGTTCCGGCTCTTCAGGCCATCAGGGCAGAGGGAGGGGGGCGGTGGGTTCCTGGATGAGGACAATGTTGGGGCGGTTACAGACATCCTTTCTGGATGCACTTCATGTGCTCCCAAATGCCACACACCCCTCGGACTTCCTCTCATCTCACTGGTGGCTTTTCCTCGCCCCACTGTGCACTGCAAAGTCCCAGGGGTCCATCTTCTGAATGACAGAGGGGCTCAGAGTGGGCTGGGCCCTTACTCTGCTCCACACTCTCACAGGGGTCTCCCAGAATTTCCAGTACCACTCACTGAGATTCCAAAGCTGATCAGCAGCCGATATCTGGAAGCTGGATGGTGAGGCTACTGAGGTTGGTTATTCTGTCCTCTTTACTGTTGTGTATATTTGAATTTTTCCAGAAGAAAGTAGTGACATGAAAACAAATAGCACCTGCCTATAAAACACTTGATGTCCAATTATCAGTTGAATACATCCCTACAGATGTCAAAAATGCATCCCATACATCCCACAACCCAGGTGGAGCTTGATCCCCTGTTCTCCAAACCTTCCTCCAACCCCAATCCTGTGCATTTTGGTGAGAAACCACCATGTTCCAGGCAATTGGGCCAAGAGCCCTGGAGTCTGCATTTATTCTATTTTTACCTCCTCTAATACATGCAACCCATCAGTCAATCATTCAGGATCTGTTCTGACACAACCCTTTCTCCAGTCAATCCCTGAGACTCCAAGGACTTCTTGCCTCTGCTCTGGCAATGACCATCTGCTGTTAACTCCACTGCCACCCCTGTTCCATGCTGCCAGGGACCACCATCCCCATGCTCAGGTCTCTCCAAGCCTGTGCTGCAGCCCCCTCCCCACAGCAAAAAATCAGTGTGTCATAGTTCTTAACACAATGTCTGTCTAGTGCTTCTTGCTCTGAGATAAGGGATCTACTTGGTTTCCTTGTCTACTGTCCGTCATCCACTCCCAATGTCAGCTCCAACAGCATCCAGCAACGAGGAGCATCTTCACAGAAATGGCATACTGGGCCCCAAATCAGGGGGACTGCTGAACTGCACTCCGGCAGGCCATCAGCACCTATATGGAGGGACATAACTACATCCCTGAAGACCCCAAGGTTGATTAACTGTCAGGTTTGAGGTCACATCTTACCCTATTTAGTAGGCACCATGAAAAAGATTCTCTGGTCCAAAAGGAATCCATCTCTTCTTCCAATAACCAGGCCATCAACCAGGCCCCACCCATGTCTCAGGAATCCCCACCATTTGGGCTGTCAGGAGATGAAAGTGATATTCCCTCCTGGCCAGTGAGCACACCCAAGATTAAGAACAAAGGCTCTACAGTCTTAGTGTCTGGACTGCAATTCTGGCTTTGCATCTCTCGGAGTAACCCCAGTCAAGTCACTGCCTTTCTGTGCCTTTGTTTCCTCATCCATGAATGGTGATGATAGTAATAATAATTGGCAGTTGTACCATTTCCTAGTACTGGTGATGTCACGGTGGCAATTACTAACATCTATATAGTGTCTATCGTATGCCATCTTCTAAGCACTACTTATATCTTATCTAATGCTCTCAGCACTCTCATCTCTCTTTAAAAGGTCCTGCAGCTCTGCAGGGCGGAGCTGAGATCCAGGCTGTGGCCTGCAGAGCCTCACTGTGAGAATCTGATGACTGTGCTGGGCATCTTCCACAGGAGAGGGATGTGGGGGTGGCTGGGAGTAAACTCAGGGTGCCCACACACTGGCTTCTTCCCTGCAAGGCTGTCACTGGTAGGTAGGGGCTCCTGCTGCAGACAGAACTCTGCCTGGGTCCTGGGATAGCTCCCTCTCCTTGCCCCCAGGCACAGGAAGGAATGCGCCCCCATGGTGAGCTGAGCGGCTGGAGGGCACAGCTCTGTGTAGGGCACACTGGCTGATGTTGAAGGTGTTAGCTTTGGACTATTACTACTTTGTCTGACTTTTCCTGCCATATCTCCCTGCCTCTGCTGCACCTCAGCCCTTCTGTGGTTTGGGACATAACACATCCCTTGGGAACCCTAGGTGAAAAGCAAAAATAAAGGGCAGCAGCCTACCTCTTCCTGCAGCGGAACTTCTGCACCGGGGTCAGCACAGCCACACCCATCTTCTTCATGACCAGATGGTAGTGAATGTCATGCCAGAGCTGCACCAGCTCCTGGCTGCCTCCTGGCACCCGGCAACTCTGCTGACAAGAGCCTCCTGAGACCAGGCTGCCTTCGCCCACCCTGGAGCACTGCCACGTGACCCACCCTGACCCCTGGGAAGCTGCTTATTGATGTGCCAAGCAGCAAGGGCCTGAGCCAGCTGGCTAGTGCACCAATCTCCCACCAGGTACATTCTGAGCTAAGTGGAATGAACTCATCTTAGTCTGTGCCTGGTGACAGCTTACTGACCTAGTGTGACTTGTTCACATAACCACACTTTGGAGATAGCCAAGGATGCTCAGCATCGGCCTCCCTACTAACACAGCCCCCTGTGGTCAGTGTGCATGGTTCTGGCCTTTAACTTAGGACCATCTTAGCAAGGGAGGTGCTCAACATCATTGTGCTTTCTCTCCACAACACCAGAGAAAGCCCATTTTCCTGGGCTGTGACTTGCAGTCTCCCACCAAGATGCAGCCATCCATCTAGGGCACAACCATCAGGGATCTCATATGGGAACCCCTGTCTGCAAGACACGGCCTCGGGAAATGCCCTTTCTTGGTGTGGCTTTCAACTCTCAGCTCTGTGTCACCTTTGCAGAGACATTTCTAGACCATCTTGACAGTTTATAATCACTCTCCTGTGAGTTTTTCAAAACCGATGTAATCCATACACTTCATCAGTGATTGCCTTCCCTGCAGTTACTACAGCTCTGCACATTGCCTTGTTTGCTTCATCCCTTTATGCTGATGGAGTTGAAAACTGAATGCCCCTTAACTTGGTGATTTGCTGGGTGTTGTGGATTCTGTAATAAACGAAACTGAGGTGGCTCCTCCCTCAGAGGACTTGCAGTGCAGTGAGGGGCGGCAGATGAAACAGACTGAAACATAAATAAGATTCTAATTAGTAACTGAGAAAGGAGCTGTAGGAGGAACAAAAGGCTATAATGACACTACCTAGATGGGTTGACATTTAAAGCAGAAACCAGAAAGGTCAGAAGGCACCAGTCACAGAGAGCTGAGGGAATGACACATGCAAAAGTCCTGAGACAGAGAAATATCTCATGAGTTCTAGGAACAGCAAGGAAGCCAGTATAGCCACTGGGGAGAAAGCAAAGGAGGGTCTGGAGAAGACAGTGGGGAGCAGGCAGGCTCTGGGGCACTTGCACCAGCCACACACCACGATAGCACCTGCAGTTTGAAACTTTATGGCTATGTGAACAGGAACAGATCAAGGAGGCAGGGGAGGACCTGGGGAGAGTGGCCAGGAGGACGCTACAAGGCTTGCAGTGGATGGAATGAAAATAGAGCTCAGAAGAATTGAGTAACCTGAACCTAACCTCAGTGTGAATGATACATGCTCTCTACTATGGGTTAAAAGAGGGAAAACATCCCCAAATCTATTGGAAACCCTCTGAGCCAGGTGCATTTGGAATTCAGAACTTCTCAGATTTCAGGAAGTAACACAGGAATATACTGCATGATAAGCACCATCCCAGTATAATCTGGGGCAGTGTCCTGCCATACAAAATAGCAGTATTTATGTATGAAGATATACCACAGCCACATTAAATGAATAAATAAAGACTATTAATAGCTTCACATCCATGCAGGTCTGGTTTGATGCCAAATAGGTTATGGTTCAAAGCACCACTAGATGAGTGACAAAGATACTCTTGGTTCCAGAGTACTCCATTGCAGACCTGTGGCTAAGGGACTGAAATCCTGGGTCTGTTTAACTGTCTCACTGACTGGGATACCAGATCTCCAAGCCAGGACCCAATATGCAATACAGGTTGGGTAAATGGGTAATTTTGGCTCACGTTACTAAGCTATTTAGAACTTGTAATGACAGAGTGGTCCATCCTGGCTTTGTTTATAGCTCTTGCTGGCTTCTGGGCATTTCTGTCATTTCAGGATGGTGGTGGCCTCTGCACCTCTCTCTGTACCCCTCCTGCAGACCAGTCCTACCTTCAGCAGCTGGCAGGCAGCCTGGTGCTGCTCCTGCTGGACCAGCATACGGGCGCACATCAGGGCCACATCTGCATTGTCCAGGAGATACTGGTGGAGCTGGCTGTCCAGCATGGCTGTGACTAATGGCTGCACCTGGGCAAGGTCATCCTGAAGGTCCCGGCACAGCCTGCCTGCAAGGGTCACCAGCTCCAAGGGTGGGCTGGTGCCCACACTCCCTCTCAGCAACTTCAGGAAGCTCTGCATACTCTGTCAGTTTGGGCCCTTCTGCAAACAAGACAACAATTATGAGAACAGCTTTACTGACCAAATGCTGACTGCACATCAATCCTCAGACCAAGTCTACAAAGCCCCTCCTGCCACAAGCACTTGTAACATCGGAAAAAGCCAGGGGGACATTAGATGCCTGTTAGAATTTCCTTTTAGTCCCCCCAAAACATCCTTTAGTCCTTGGTTGTATGCCAAGACAGATCTCAGTGCTGTCACTGTGGCAGTTCATCTCACTCCTCTGAACCGTTCATCTCTGGCCTGGGGCCCCAGCTGCTGGTCCTCCCATATGGCCCCCACAGTCTTATATACATGTGGTACTTATATCTTGTTTCACTCCTTCTCTGGGCTCAGTGGGGCAAGGGACCATGTGTCTTAGGGTCATCAGATTTCCGCAGAATCTGCCAAGATGCGGGCCAAGGCCTCTCAGAGCAGTTAGAAGGTGCCCTGAACCAGGGGCCAGGCAGCAGCCATTACATTCCTGTAAAGAGGACCCATGGGGCCTGCCTGAGCAGGACTAGCAACATCTCGTTTTAACTCTTTTGACTTTGAAAAAAAAAATTATATTTGAAAAACACAAAGATTTAAAGGTTGTCCTAATCCCTAAAGTAAAAAACAAAGTTACAAAAAGGCATGAAGATTTGTTGGGCCTCCCCCTCACCGACCAACACAGAACCGAAGCATTTTCCTGCTGGGAAGGACCTGGATGTCATGTAGGCCTACCTCATTTAAATCACGGATGGGGAAACTGCGGCCCAGAGTACATTAAGGGACTGCCCAAGGAGTGGGGCCACCTCACCCTGAAGTCTCTGAAGTACATGCTTTTGGTCTTCAGATCCACTGTCCAGCCCTGAAATCCTCCTCCCCACCAGACCAGTTCGGCTGCCACACTCTCTCTCAGCGCCAGCAGCCTCCCCCGAGTCAGGGTCTGCTTCTCCCTCACCCATAGCCACCTGGTTAGGAAGCAAAGCCTCTCCCCAGCAGAGTTCCCTCCTGACCTCCCAGAGCTTCTGGGGGCTGCCAATTCCACCACCTATAGCAAGGGAGAAGGGGGCAAATCACAAGGGTGGCTAAACCTCTTCCCAGAGGCCTTTAAGGGAAGCTCTGTGCCATCCCATTACTCTCACACAGGCCACAAAGACCCCATGGAACTAAACAAACAATTTGGAGAAAAAAAACATACTACTAACAGTGACCACAATGACAAGGCTATAGGTCAAGTTTTAGTTTGGCCCTTCCTATGTGTATGAACTTTCCAATTTTCTATCATGACCATTTAAAGGGATCCTAAATATTCTCCATGAGCCTCAGTACAAAAAAAGAAAATCAGCCTGGTAATAGTATATACTGCAGATAGCCTGTCTGGTAGAGCTGACTTTAACATGGTCCTTAGAAACTACTGATAATCAGATGGTGAAGAAAAAAAGTTAAGATTTTTGTTCAAAGGCAAAGTAACAAAATGAAAACAATCTGGATTTGTTTGGGGTTTTTTGATGGGGGGCGGATAATGGGTTTGATTTTGTTTGTTTTTCAGAAGCATTTGTTTCTCTTTCTTCAAATGTTAAAATCTATCCAACACCTTGCAATCTGGTTACATAGTGATTTCTTGCACTACCTACCATTTTCTTCTGCCAATA